GGGTACCCCGGAAATTGTTTAATGGCACAGGTAGAACACGGACAGCCCCCGAAAATTTCTACCTCGCGGATATTTAAAAACACAGTGTAATTTCAAGAGCAAACAATGAGTTTAATAACGTTTAATTAACGCTCACTCCCTTCCCCTTTCTTTCTATCGATCGGTTCAATCGGACCGCGATTGTAAATTTATTAAAAAAAAAAAAAGAGACGGGGCGAAAAAAGAAAAAAGAGAAGAACGTCAATGTCAAGGCTTGTAATCTTTCCGTGTCTTTTTGTTTTTTCCTCTATCGTTTCCTTTTTTTTTTTTGCTCGTTAAAACAAGAAACAACGAGCAGACGGCGTTTCTTTTAATGACCTTTTCCACAGTGGCAAAACGTGATTAAAAAGATACGCGCGTGTAGTTTCGAAAAAGGTAACTGTAAAAAAAAAAAAAGAAAGAAAGAAAAGAAAAATCGTTTTTATCAATATAAAATCGGAATCACTCAAGGACATCGTTATTACTCATTGATACTTATAAGATGAATATAGGATAATTGTCTTTTTGAGTCGTTTCAAGGTTAAATTCTTTTTTTTACATCACTAAGATTTTATCTTACGCGATCGCAAGAAGATATACTTTTTCTTAAGCTGCTATTTATTTTCTTCTTTCATTCTTTACTCAATTTTTAATCAAATCAATTAGAAACGAACATTTTGAAGAAAGAAAGAGAGATCAGGTAACAATTTGAATAATTCTCGTCAGATTTTAGTCAGGTAATTTCGCTGGGCGATTTCGATTAAGCCAGTTAATCGAGGTAGTCCCAACGTAATTCGCATCCACGTGTTCTCAGCGGGAGAGGAGAGAATCAAATGAGCCGAGCGAGCGCCCATAGATCCTTCTTTAGGCTTTACGAAAGCATCGAACGGAACGCGTTTTCGCGTTCAAAGACGCGAGACCGATCATCGTTCGAACGGAACGAAATATCCAAGGGGTGGACAGGAATCGGAAACGAGCGTGGCGAGCTTCCGACCAGCGAAAAATAGCCTTTACCAGAGGAACGAGATGAATTCGGCCGGAACGGGCTTTATTCGCGTTACAACCGAGAATAATCGCGGTTATACCACGATGATATCCTCTCGTGTGCATCACCAGTTTGTACGGGCGAGAACAGATTCAGGGTTCAATGACTCATAAATTTTATTTAACGAAAATCCCTGAAGCCTAACTCCAACGATCGAGCAAACCTCTAGTTGACACGACTTTAGCGCCACCTGGGACCGTACTTACAAAAGGATCACGATTTACTCGAGCAAATCTAACCTCTAACTCGAAACTTGATCCACGATCCAACGGAAAGAGATATTCAGGAATTCTGTTATTAAATTGGTTTCTCGAAATTCTACGACGATCAATTTGAAAAATTGATCAATTCGTGCACAAGATATTTCATAAAATTTTTAATATCTGTTTCTTCCGAAATTACTCGTTATCGCAATACTTTCATTTTGTCGCTCGAATAACTTCATTATATCATTATGCGAAACAAATTTCCACAGATAAAAAAGAGAAGTGCTTGAAGATTTTATTTAATCGAACGATAAAAAAGGCAGTCTCTCGAAGCAACGATCGCGAGCGTGAATCTCGTCGCCGGCTACACGTGATATCGAATCTCAACTACGTCGAGAATGATGGAAGCTCAAAGGCTTGACCCGATCATAATAATTTAGCAACGAGGAACGCGAGAACGTTGCCTTGAATTGAGAAACACTGGAGTTAGTACGGCCACTCGCAGACAGCGAGGCGCACAAGAGGCGTTCGCGCAATAGTATGTCATTCGAGATTGAATAATCGCGTTTCACTATTCGAAAAGCGCAATCGATATCGCTTCGTGGGTCCGCGAGCTTGATAACGGATAACACGATCGATACCAGTTCTCGAATGAACACGAGTTTCCCTCTATCGGTAATATCGAACTAGAAATCGATTAACCGTCCGATCGAAAGGATTCGAGATTGAATCGACTCGCATTCGATTAATCGAGAAATACTTGCAATCAAGTTATACGCGTATCTGTATCAACGTTTTGTGTACTAAAGATAAAAATAAAGACGACTGCGAATGACAAAAACTTTCTCGCGAATAGATCTCTCGCGAATAAAATGGACGAGCGTATTGTCTCGAATCCCTCAACTCGAAGAACAATTCCATCTCGCTCTCTCTCTCTCTCTCTTCTCTTCCTGTTCACTTTTTTCCACGATTCTTTGCGTCACTAAATACCGACAGCGTGACCATTTGCCTCGAATCGATAAATTCGATCGATTGAATTTGAGCAAATGTCCATTGAACACCAAAAATATTATAATTTCCAAGGGAACAGTCGTACCGGTTGCACGAGAAGCGACAAGAATGCGACAATGCAACGTCGAATCGCGTGTCTACAATGGCAAGGTTACAATTTCGAATCATTAAATTTATAGAGAACTGCAATTTCACCAGTCGTACCGATGCTTTTCGATGCTACTTTCACAATGAACAATCGTTTCTAGAATTGTGACAATACTCTCATAACGCAATATTCTTTTATTTATAAGAGATTTTTGGAAACAAATGACGAATGATTTTGTAGAATGAATTAAATATAGCATAAAGATAAACGAATTGCATGGGAATATTCATTATTTGGTATTATTTGATCCTTTAATTATTTTGAACAATGCACAGGATATATCGCATAATTACATTACAGTTTACCACCAATTATCATCGCATTGTTCCACGGGCTTCGCATTATCAGACCTACTACGTTCGCAATTAACCGGCTCGTCGTCCAATTGGTTTAAAACGATAAACACGATACCGTACGATCTTGTAACCCCGTCACGCTATATATAAATGAGAATTTTATTACAATGAGACAAGAATTCGTCGATAAAAAAAACGGTAACAGTCGCACATGGTTCATTAGCCAATCATGCACAATAAGAAATAGCGAAGCCCTGTCCGTAGGCCAGGTGACTCACGCTGCGTACCGAGCACGCGAGACCCGATTGCTTTTAAATAGCGATGCATATTATATGCGAGGAAGGTCCACGCGCGCCGACCGATAAATTATGGCCTTCTATAGTTTGCATGTTAAACGCGAATGAACATTTGCAAATTGCAAACGTGAAACTTTTTTCCTTTTCCCCCTTTTCCTTTTTTCTTTCTTTTATATATATATATATATATAAAAGAATTCCAATTCCAAGCTCGTGTGAAACTTTCTTCGCGAATAATTCATCGCAACCACTTTATATTTCGTAATGTTCTATGTAAGGAAAAAAACTTACTTCGATGCACGACGAAATTTAAAACTGTGTGAAAAAGAACGAGAGACACTACACATTATTATCTCAAGAATCAAAAAGAAAACACTATTTTTGAACGATTGACGTCGACCTGTGTAATTCGCTGAATTCGTACGAACGACATCGATTGATTATTCTTCGCAGCAATGCTTAGAATCACACAATCCACGAAATATGATTTTAAGAAGAAGTAACGTTGCACCCTCGAAAAATCGCGCGCGTTGCACCGTATCGTGTCACCTTGAGACACAATCCAGTATCGTGGTGCCGCGGAGAGCGCGCGGGTTGAACGTGCCACGAAGAAGAGACGCACAAAAGAAACGGTTCGGAACTGGTTCGGCGAAGTCGAGCGTTCTCGGGTGCGCACGACGTACACCACGAACAATACGATTTTCTAGGAGGAAACGGTGCAGAAGAAGCCAGGAGAGGAGGCGATGAAGGAGAGGGAGAAGGAGGAAGAGGAGGTGAAGGAGGAGAAGAGAGAACAGCAAGGAGGGTCGCGGAGCACGTGAAAGGCGATTTAAAGGGAAAAAGAAGGAGGTGGCCTTTAAAAAAAAAAGAAGGAACATGGCGAACCGGTCGCAGCCTCCATTCGTCAGCTGGGAGCTCAGCTGCAGCCGGGCGCGGTGACCTCGACGGAGCTTCACGGAAAACCGAGTCAATTTGCAAGCAATAACGGTGTCATGCCGCGCGTCGTTTTCATTGGTGATTTAACGCATTTTTATAGATTCAGCAATCACACTGACGTTTCTTCATTTCTTTTTTTCGAATGGCACACACACATCGATATACCGGCAAGTTTCTTTCAATCAAGAGACAACGACGTTTTACGAAAACGCGGTCATTGGTTGCTTTACAGGTGATCGAAAGTACCCGACCGACTGACAGTTCAACGACATTCGTCTTTACCATTGCATGGGAAACGTGTTTCCATTTAGAAACATCGTGTAAACGTTTCTATCGATATCGATCACACTTTAAATCCGAGAAATTTCAAATTCGACGAACCGTATAATTATCCCGATTCCTTCAAACGACTTTTATCACTTAATTACTCAAACACCTGATTTGTTTGTGTTTATCGAATCTTTCATTCATCACTTCCGATTTCAAAGTACACTTAAAAAAAAATAATACAGAACATATATTATATATATATATATACATATACATATACATATATATATATATATATTCCATCTTTAAAATCGAATCGACGAGATATCTATTAATATATTTAAAATATAGTTGATAACTAAAAATAAAATTTTTGATTCATTGACAATTTATATATTAAAATCGAAATCGAATAAACAATTGAAATAAATAAAAGACACTCGCGGACTGTCACAATTAAAGGTAAAAGAGGTTACAGAATAGGATCGGAGCACCTCTCGGTATTATAGGAAAACTATATTTAAGCAAAGTAAAAATCTTGAAGAGATATCGCGTTAGAAAAAGATAATTTAAACGAAAAATGAAAGTAAAAAAAAAAATTATAATTTTTAAAAGAAACACGGTAAACCGGTCGGTGCGTCCGTTCATCAGCTGAGAGCCCAGCTGAACCCAGCGGCCGCTGTAACCTCAACCTTTCTAATAAGCTATATTTCATGAAAAACGATTAATCCTTGATGTCCGCAAGTCCTGCAGATAAAGATAAAGCTAAAATACCTGACATTCAACTTTCATCTATAGGCGAACGATGAAACGCACGAAAACACTGGATTTTTGGAGATAAAACTTTTTGAAAGCCCACTCACAATGGAATCTTCCAGTAGACTGGCCGAGCCGGCAAGCCGTTCTCTTTTGCGTGCACACCCACCGTTTCGCGCACTGTCTCACGTTTTACACCGTTAATCTTTCTTTCATGAATCGTTTCGACTTTTAAAACAGCGGAAGGCTTCACGAAAAGGTTTAGCCGTCGTTTCGATCCGTTATAAAGTGCTTATTTGCAGCAGAAACGCGGCGGTATGCATACCGCTGACAGTTCGAGCTGTCACTTTTTGACGACCGCATACGTGTCGCCATCTGATGTCACTGCCATGAAACAGTATATAATTTGAAAGAACCGCGCTTGGATCACCTAGCAACAAGATCAATAGACTAAATTATAGTAAGTCTCGTAATAATAATGTGTCTGTAGTGATTTTATTTATTATTTAATAAAAGATGAAAATCAGTGAATTTAAAATTTCATTTTAATATTCTTAGTGTTTTCTTCAAATGTTTTTAATATTACTATAAATATATAATTCATTTGACTTCCGGTATAATTTCGAATATTCAAAGTTTCAGCAATTTTCAAAATTTAAACATCGTAATAAAAATAGATGAACAATTTCTTGATTTTCACTTCAAATTTTATTATAATAATCTCATTCCGCTAGTACAAAAAACCGAATATCCTCGCAATTTACAAGATATAACAACATATTATACAAACATTTGTGTTCTCGAATGCTTACGCCATTTTTTTCTTATTTTGTACTTATTTTCCTGTCTTTTTATTTCAGTGCCTTTATTTAGTGATCCATATCACGATTCTTTCGCTCTTAACGTGAATACAATACTCGAGATATATTCACTTTCACAACATTAATTGTGAATATATCTTCTTTTAAACAATATACAATTACACTCATACATATCACATTTATTATAATGTACTAACAATAAGTGACCCATTTTTGACACTTTTAAATTATATAAGTTTTTATAATAATTCAGTGACTAAGATAATACTTCCTATAAAAGTTATTAAATTCTGGTATTTTATAAATATCAATTTATGAGATATACTTTCTTTTCCTAAATTGCGAGAAAAAATTTTCAATAAGTAAGATCAAATTGATCTTATGTATCGATGATAAAAAAGAACTATTTAATTAATAATAACACGAATATTAGAATATAGGAGCAATGTAAAAAGAATGATTTCTAATATTCGAACATAAACATTCAGAATATGATTTCCAAAAACGTTGTAAAATTCTAGCATTTTAAGAAAAATGTACAAACATGCAAAGACGCATGATAAAATCAATTCCTTTTAGGAATTATATTTTCTAAAGATTTTTTCATAAAAATACAATTTATAAATTTATCTCTTTCTTAAATATCACTACATGATTCAAAGTGAATAATGAAATGCTTTCAATTAGAATATTTTCACTATAACAATTTATATATGCAATAACTTTAAAAATATGAATAAAAATATATCTAAAAACTCTTTGAATATGGAAGATTGAAAATGACAACGATGATGTTATTAACATAGAGAATGTGACTGTACATTATTTAAAAATTATACTATACTCTGAACAATTGCTTAACTAGAGATCTGGTGCAAATCATTTACACAACTAACAAGAAACATACGCCAGCGTATTTGAAATTTTCTGTTACTACTAATCTAATCTATTCTGAAGTCTTTGTGCAATTGCGGCAACAAGTGCAGCACCTTTCCCACTTCCATCCTCAGCATGAATCATCTTGAACTATAAATTAATGATTAATCAAATAAAAAATAAAAATATAAAATTATATAAAAAATAATAATATAGAAAAAATATTCATTGTAGTATACTTTATGATCAGGAGCTAATAATGGAATGTACTGTTTGATCCATGTCTCCAGTCGAGGATGATGTTTGTATAGAGATCCGTCTACAGCGATTGTGACATGTTTTCTATCAATTCGCTTTAACAAAACTGCTAGGCCTAAATAAATAACAATAAATTAACAATTTAATATTGTTTATCTATTTACTAGTTCAATTTCATCATTATCTAAACTTACATATTGAAACAAGAAGAGCTGCGCGATTAGATACTACTTCGCAAACATATTGTACAATTTTTACGTCATCTTTATCCGGAATGATACCAAACTTCATTAAAATTTCCTTCGTATTATTATAATCACCATCTACAGAGTCTCTAAATTTCAGTATTCAATATAAATATATTAAATATTTGTACGATAGAAATGTATTATAAAATTTTCTAATTAGAAAAAACATACTGTTCAATATCAGATACTAAATCGCTGGTAAGATTGCCGGGAACCAAAAGAGATCCAGGTGTATGATCTCCTATGAATAGAAGGCCATCTTTGTATAATTTTGCAAGTACCACTCTTACAATCTCGCCCAAATATTTTCCACTAATATATTTTTCAAACCTGAAATTCGAAATATAATAATGTAATATATAAATAATAATTGTAATATAATAAATTTATCAAAAATTCTTATCTCTTATATTTTCCAATTGAATTTGTACTCACGTAAAAGAATTCACAATAAGCGAATTTGCATCATTTTCACGATCGAAATCTGTCTTGATAAAATCCAATACACCATTGTCTCCAAATGCACCCCATTCAATATCGATAATAACCTTTAATATACAATGAACAATTTAATCTTCAAAGAGAAATATTGCTTCTGTATCAAAAAAAATATTAAAAAAAGTTACTTGACGTTCTCCATGTCTCTCAGTCTCCCAGTGCTCAACTCTATCAGCTCGTTCAATATAACAAGCATTACTACCAGTACCTAATATAAGTCCAATTGCTGTATCAGGATCCAACGTTGATCCTTGTACAAGTGTTCCTGTAGTATCATTCAAAATTGCTACGACTTTCACTTTAGTATCTCCTCGACGATCCAAAGCTTCGCGCAATAATTTCACGGCATCTTCATTAACAACATCGGGACAATTGAAAGTTTTAGTCCAAGTCACTAATATTCCAATATCTAATGAATGTTGAATCATCGGGAAAGAGAATGTAAATCCTAAAAAAGTAAATTAATATAAATTGTATGCCCCAAAAAAATATTATTTATATTATATTATTATCGTATAAATTATATATATATATATATATATATATATATATATATCTACGTAGTAAAATAACTAAGTTAAATTTAATT